AAGCAGCAGCCCCCCGGCCAACTTTCCCATTCCAACTTTATACACTGAGCATGACTTCATACGGTATGGAATAGCCCTGGGGCCAGTTTGGGTCAGCTGTCCTGGCTGTGCCCCCTCCCAGCTTCTTGTGCATCTCCAGTCTTCTCAGTCAGTAGAGCATGACAAGCTGAAAAGTCCTTGACTAGTGTAAGCACTCCTTAGCAGCAACTAAAACATCCATGTGTCAACATTACTCTCATACTAAATCCAAAACACAGTACTATACCAGCTACTAGGAAGAACATTAACTCTATCCCAGCCAAAACCAGGACAAATATACTTTCAAGGAATGATGTCAGTGCTTTTCCCCCTTATCTTTTTTTTAGTCTCTAGAAAGCTTCCCCCCCCGCACTGGTTGCAGTCTGCCTCTCTCTCCGCACTCTCGCCTGCATCGGTGCTGCCATTGCGACAGTTGCCAAACGTGGGAGCCACCACCCCAGGGGAGCTATGGAAGGTTTTGGTGGTGATGCACACAGTCACAGTGCTCCTCCCCGCACTCCCAGCTTCTGTACTTCCAGCCTAATCTTTGCCTTTCACGTTTTTTCTTTTCTTTCTTTCTTTCTTTCTTTCTTTCTTTCTTTCTTTCTTTCTTTCTTTCTTTCTTTCTTTCTTTCTTTCTTTCTTTCTTTCTTTCTTTCTTTCTTTCTTTCTTTCTTTCTTTCTTTCTTTCTTTCTTTCTTTCTTTCTTTCTTTCTTTCTTTCTTTCTTTCTTTCTTTCTTTCTTTCTTTCTTTCTTTCTTTCTTTCTTTCTTTCTTTCTTTCTTTCTTTCTTTCTTTCTTTCTTTCTTTCTTTCTTTCTTTCTTTCTTTCTTTCTTTCTTTCTTTCTTTCTTTCTTTCTTTCTTTCTTTCTTTCTTTCTTTCTTTCTTTCTTTCTTTCTTTCTTTCTTTCTTTCTTTCTTTCTTTCTTTCTTTCTTTCTTTCTTTCTTTCTTTCTTTCTTTCTTTCTTTCTTTCTTTCTTTCTTTCTTTCTTTCTTTCTTTCTTTCTTTCTTTCTTTCTTTCTTTCTTTCTTTCTTTCTTTCTTTCTTTCTTTCTTTCTTTCTTTCTTTCTTTCTTTCTTTCTTTCTTTCTTTCTTTCTTTCTTTCTTTCTTTCTTTCTTTCTTTCTTTCTTTCTTTCTTTCTTTCTTTCTTTCTTTCTTTCTTTCTTTCTTTCTTTCTTTCTTTCTTTCTTTCTTTCTTTCTTTCTTTCTTTCTTTCTTTCTTTCTTTCTTTCTTTCTTTCTTTCTTTCTTTCTTTCTTTCTTTCTTTCTTTCTTCTTTTTTTTTCTTTTCTTTTCTTTTCTTTTCTTTCCTTTCCTTTCTTTTCCTTTCCTTTCCTTTCCTTTTCTTTCCTTTCCTTTCTTTTCCTTTCCTTTCCTTTCCTTTCCTTTCCTTTCCTTTCCTTTCCTTTCCTTTCCTTTCCTTTCCTTTCCTTTCCTTTCCTTTCCTTTCCTTTCCTTTCCTTTCCTTTCCTTTCCTTTCTTTTCCTTTCCTTTTCTTTTCTTTTCTTTCCTTTCCTTTCTTTTCCTTTCCTTTTCTTTCCTTTCCTTTCCTTTCCTTTCCTTTCCTTTCCTTTCCTTTCCTTTCCTTTCCTTTCCTTTCCTTTCCTTTCCTTTCCTTTCCTTTCCTTTCCTTTCCTTTCCTTTCCTTTCCTTTCCTTTCCTTTCCTTTCCTTTCCTTTCCTTTCCTTTCCTTTCCTTTCCTTTCCTTTCCTTTCCTTTCCTTTCCTTTCCTTTCCTTTCCTTTCCTTTCCTTTCCTTTCCTTTCCTTTCCTTTCCTTTCGCAGGCTTGAGGCAAAGGTTCAGCTCATACAGGATTTCACTTCTGTTAAGAGCTGTTCTGCATCTGTCCTCAGGAAGTGCAAACCTTTTATCTCAAAGCAGGGCAACTGAGCACTTGGAAAAAAACCCTTTCAGTAGATATATGTCACAGCTTTAATTGAATCCTTGTAATTTCAACAGGGTCTTTCAACAGCTTTGTGGAGTCAGTGAGCTGATGAAAACTTGAGCTGGAAAAAGAGCTTAGTGTGGCTGCTGGCCAGGACAGCTCGCCCCACAATTCATGCCACATCGTTGCGTTAGACAGAATTAAGTGAAAGGGTAGCATCTCATTTGTATGAGTGCTGCTATTGCATGAAAAAGCCACATGACTTCATTCAAGTGCAAGCTTGTGTTTGTATCTTGTATAAGATATAACTCTGAGTCATGGAGCAAAGCCTTTCTTATTTGAGTGACGTAAAGTTAATACTACATTTGTATTAGCCCACCAGGCAAAACTGCTAAAATTAAACAAGTTTTCAGGTACACTATTCCCTGAAACTGTGAAGGGACAGGAAGAAGAGCCACTTCAGAACCTAAACCAGGGTTTCTGTGCTCAAAATCTTCTTAGTCTGCCAATTCTACTGGCTGATCTGCTGGAAGACAGTTATCCCTTCCTACAAAAATTTGGCTCCCTTACACTCCTAGACAGTGAGGTCTACAACAGTACTGGGTATTAGTGATTCATTTATGCCTCATGCTACATGTCCACTCTACGGTGGTTTTGTCTAAACTGCCTCATACAGTAAGGTCCCCTCAAAAGACTCAAAGCTCGTAAATTCAAAAAAAGGCAAGTATCATTCAAATTAAAATTTGCATCTTTTAAAATAAAAATCAGTGGCTAGGCCAGATAAACAGAAATAAAAATATTTCTTTTTTTTCTATATATGTGTGTATATGTACATAATATGTAACTTCCTCCTGCCCACCCTTGAAGGCATGCTCAAGGGCAAGTTCTTGTCTCCAGCTAACTCAGTGTCTGAAAGGCAACATACTCTGCCTGGTCCCCTCTGGTCCTTAGGCAAGCTCTCTTTTCCTGGGAAGCCTGCCTGTATCTGATCTTCAGTGCAATCTTTTGGCCTCTCTGCACAAGACAGAGATCCTCAGCTTCGTGCTGCAACCTGCTGCTCACTCCATCCTTCAGTCTCTGAAACCATCTGTCCTGGAGCAGCAGGGACATGGCTAGAAGGAAAGGCACCGTCTCCGCCAGCCTGGAGCAGATGCCTCCCCAGCCAGCCGTCCCACAGGAATATGGTTCAATGAGTTGTCCCTCAAACCTGCTTCACAGCAGCTTAGTAAGGGTACAGATTCAAATAAGGTTGAAACAAAAAACACTGACATTTAATTTTTCCCTGGAACACAGACATGGTTTCTGAAATGAAATACACTTAGTACTGTAGTTGTGAACCAGATAGCTATGAAGCTGTAACAGCTATGAAGCTGGAAGAATCTGTTTTATAGAGTGGCTCCTTTGGCTTCCTGAGAGTGCCAGTGGGACAAGGCAGTCCCTTGGCTTTGGGACAGTCCAAGATCTTCCATACACCCTACCTCACTACAGAGCAGCCCACGAATTTCTTTGATTTACATGATCAAAAAGCTCTCACTTTTTATTTAAATTCCCATGCAAGGCCTGTTTTAACTCAGTTTATAATGTTTTTTACTTTATGCTGATACTTCCTGAATTCCAAGGTGTACTCCTTGTTCTTCACAGACTCACTTCATATTCTGTTCTTCTGGAGGTGAATAGTCACCTGATTCTGTAATATTCACCTGCAGTCAATGACTGCAGCTCTGTTCTTACAAGCATTTATCCCTTGGTTGAGATGCATGTTCCAAATGCTATTTGTATTTTTGACTTAAAGGAATATCAAGTTCTCTTCACATTCAAGACTTTGAGCCCATCTGCACACTTGGCTGAACTAAGCAGGTCCTTTCATTTCTCAGAATGTTCTCCTTCCGTTTCTCAGGACATTCTCTTCTGGTCTGGTCTTGAAGAACGAGAGGGATTCACAACATGTCATGTTACTAAATTATGGACATGAAAGAGGTCAGTATTCAGTCTGCCTCCAAATGAGACGCAAAGGAGGAGGGTAGGGAAGAACTGGGACACAGGAGTTCTTTCTTTATCTCTTTCCTCCTAACAGCAAGGCAGTCCCTGACCTGATCTCAGAAGGTTTAAAAATCTCCTCACGGTGAGACCATTGTGCCACTGACACAGAGGGATTCACTACAGCAAGGGTAACCCCACCGGTGTGAGGGAGAAAACTTCAGTTACGTAAGGTAGATATGATGGAAGCTATGGTGCGGGTTCCCTTGGAAACCTACGCATCTGTCCAGTTGCTTTCTGCTTTGAGCTGGCCTCTCCTGAGATAAATACCTAGTGCATAATATTTGTTTACACCTGTGTGTACATATATTAACTGTATGCAATATATATGCACATGTGATGTTACAGATTTGTGTAATGAACATGTATATATTTAATAAAATCTAATTTCTACCAGATGGAATAATCATTTTCTCAACATATTTTCCGATTTTTTTTGTTTTCTTGTATCTTTATTTTTGTCATAATTTTATGCTTAGTAAAGAATATAATTTTATCTGAAGACTTTGTTATGATACATTTGCTGTTCTTCAGTTACTTCCTGACCATTAGAAAATGTCTGATTTAAGAGCAACTGCTGTGATTTTGCTTTTAAGAAATTATTGCATGCTCAGAGTCAGATATCTGAATGCTGTACCGAATGCTAGTCTGCAGGTACTGTAGCTAGTCTCATGGCCAACATGAACCATGATTATAAATGTGATGCTGAACCGGCGCCTACTCTGGTTCTTTCCCCAGGGACTCTTGCACAGCAGCATGTTCCTACATGATTCAGAGTTATGTCTATCCCTGTTCCTGACATTTCCATCAGAAATGGTGTGACTCTGTCTCAAAGTTACATGACACACACTTCATTCAGCAAGTCGTGCTGAGAAACAGCTGTCCTCAACACAGGCTTGGATGAAGCCTGCACGTGCCCAGTACCCTTTCTCTGAACATGATCATAATATCCTCCTGAAAGGGTCCTTTCCTCATTCAGAAGAAAGACTCAAGTGCAGACTCCTTCAACATGAGCGTGATGGACGCACTACTTTTACTTAGACCACTGACTGAAGCAGGGTGTGGGACGGAAGTCAGGGGGCTCATAACCGCCATGCTGAGGAAAAGCCTTCTGCTCAGTTAACGGAAGAAGCTGTGAGCACCGAGTACTCCAGCAGAGCCAGGTCCCCCAGCCCCAATGGCAGCCGCAGCCGGTGCCCAGGAGCTCCTGGTAGGTTGTTTCCCCAGGACATACTCATGGACATGCCATCACAGATGTGCTCTCTGTCCCAGTCCCTATTTAAGTTCATGGGACATATATGCATCTCTCAAAATATACATCAACCCATACCTTGCAGAGCTACAGTTATGGGTAAGTGACTTCTGCTTCTGTCATGATATTAAGAATACCCTTGGAGAGGAGAGGGAGAAGACCAGGAGCTAGCCCCGGGTTCGAATGCTTGTGCGTACTGCTGGGAGGCCAGGGGAGAGCGGCCAGGTCCATGCGTGTCTGCTTTATTCCTTCCAGGGATACTGAGAATGGAGGTTTATTTACAGCTTCTGGGTTATTCTTTGGAGTGGAGGCTGGCATGCCTTGTATACCTCAACAGAGAATTGTATCCCAGCTTGCTAGCACATGATGTACTGAAAGCTCATAGCTGTAAATTTACAGATATTTTTCCAAGTACGGATTTTTCTTCCATGGCAAAAGGCAGTGGCAGGCACGCTCTGCTCCTTCAGTGTGTCCTCTAGGCCTGGGTGCGTAATGCAGCTTTATGGTGATTCACAACCTGGGGAGTAATAATGCAACTGAAACACCACAATCATAAGACTTCTTGGCTGAAGAAGGACTGAGAAGAAATACAGCTGAGAGGTCTTTCGGTTGGGAGAATATTTTCTTATGGGACCAGATATTTTCATAGCTGTAATTGCCAGAGATGTTCTTTATTATGTGAACATGCCAAAAAATTTACTACCACTGTTAGACAGCTGTCACAGTGTTCAGATTTTGGATATGACAGTGTAGCATGAGTTTTATTTTCATCTGTGCAAAATGGCTGGGTAACATTCTGCAGTAGTACAGCATATAAATAATTCTGCTGCTCAGAGAGTTTTAGAAATAAAAATAGAAATTATTTAACATCACTTTTAATTTGAAGTAAGCCTAGCTACCCACTTTCAAAATTCTTGGCTCTAATTTAATATATATTTTTTTCCTTGTGTCTCACTTTCCTCATAAATGACAAATACAAGATTTTTCCTCCAGGAGATACTGTGTTTGTATTGACATTGATAAAACCAATTTTTTTTTTATAATTTTTAATTAAATCAGCAGAATATGTCCTTCTGTCTTCTTTATTGCTGCAACTTCCTCCAGCATTCACTGTATGATATTAGAGGACGAAAAATAATTCCATGGTAGAAATATAGGATTATTATCAGAAGATATCAGTTCTCTTTGTGCTTTTTACAGTTTTCATTACACTTCAGAAATGCAGACAATATGTATTTACCAACATCACAAGGTAGTTTGAGTTTTAATTTTCTTCGCTTAGATTTTTAGACCTTTAAATAGTGGGCACTTTATTCAGATAAAGTACTGCTTCCCATCTATTTTTGCAGGGTGCCAGTCTGATGGTACTCCTCTTTGATTTACCAAGTCATTAAACGCTGCAAGATGCTAGCTGGTGTTAACAATCATGCTCACATAGCTCTCCCAAAAGTAGTTGAAATGGTTATTGTCACCTGGAGGCCATTTCCTCCGGTGCTGAAAACATCAAAACTGATTGTGTGAGCACTCAAGGCTGCTTCACAGCAAAGTAACCGTAAATTAACTCAAACTGTCTTCGGCCTCAGAGGTCAGGAAGCATTGGGATAAGGTGAAAACTGCAAAAAGGCAAGCTAAATTATATCCTGCAATTACCTTACATTTTCTTTACATTACAATGAATAGAAAGCCCCTCTTAAGTCACATGAATTGAAAGAGGAAAATAAAAGATACAGGGTCGCCAGTAAGGGGAGGCGGGGAGCAGTTTGAAAACATTCTAGGCACAGTCCCTAACTAAATGCTTATGCTGACTCTGTTTTTAGTGAGATAGGTTCAGAGTATGATGGCAAAGACAGGGTGGATGGTCAGAAGCAGGCTATGGAAAGAGAAATCTGAGGAAGGAATAAAAAATCAGCTTGATGAGGAAAGGCACAATTCCAGCTCGTGGAATGAACTGGCTTCAGAAACGGTGGATCTGATAGCAAGTTTCAAATAAATCTCTTGAGCTGGGAGACTTGATTGAGACAGTGAGCCAGGCAATGAAAGTGCAGCTTAATATTCATGTTAGTTTTTAAGTGGCTGCCGACATTATTTATTTGCGGACTGCCAGTTTGTATTGCTTCGCTGCGCAAAAGGCGAGGCAGCGTGCCCGTCACCCGCGTCCCTGCCTTTGCACAGGCTCAGCAAAAGGCTGCCGGGGGCACAAGGTATCCCGAGTGCATGGGCTTCCCCCGGGAGTCCTGCCGTTATCCCAAAGGACCTACTGGCATTAAATGGTGAGCCACGGAGCATATGGCAACTGTGATGCCACAGAGCAGGCTGAATTTGCCACTGGAGAAAAAAGCAATGAGGAGGAAATGAGGACAGCTGCTGAATCTACTTACTAGATTCAGCACAGAAAAACACACGGACAAATAAATGCATTTTATGCTGTTAATAATGTTCCACTCTATAAGCTTTTACAATTCTATTGCAAAAACATCAAATATCAGTTTATTTGTATAATGCACTCACTGAGGTACATCACATATTTACTGAGCAGCTGAGGCTTATCGTGCTGCATTCTGCAAGCTCTCTTCATGCCAGTGCGTGACTGATGACAGGAAGGTTTTCCTGCTGGCTCCTCAGCCCAGTCTGTAGGATGTCTCACAGCAGGAACAACCCTCAGCACATCTGCATCGTCTTATTCACACTCATAAATCCAGTCCGATGCCTATCTGACTGACTCAGAAATAGCTCAGAAAAATCCTATTTCTGCACTGAATTGTGCTAGTTATTCCTCCAAATGTGAGATGTTCCTCACCTCCTCCTTATTCTGTTTCAAATCTGGGAATTGTCCTCTTGGTTGCAAAGGCAATTTTCTGATTTGCACATCCTTGCCTTAGAGGTGGAAATGGATATATGTTCAGTTTGTGCTCTCGTAAGTGTGCTCATCCCTTTTCTTTGCATTACGTACGCATGTCCTCTGCAAGCTCTTTTTAGTAACTCCTAACTCAAGCAGAAGCCCTCCTCCTCTCCTTGGACCCTGGTTCAGCCCATTTGCTCCTGTGAATAACACTCTTGTTAATGGCAGAACATTCCCATCCCCATCAAGGAACAGATGGTTGGAGTTTATAACTACACGCTGAAAGCAAACTCTGTTTATGAGAATGAGTAACTTTGATTCCTAACTCAGGGTGTGTTCTAATTACATTTTCCATTTGCAGCCCTGTGTTTATTTCCACATTCAATTCTAGATTGGTTCTACCATCAATATTAAAATGTCATCTTTTCAGCTGCTCAGCTGGATTCAAGAATCCCACTTCTTTGTGGTTGTCATGGACCAGCATTGTGTTACATATAATACAGAGAGACCAACATTACCCTAGTGATGCTTTGTTTAACTGACACTGTTATGACATGTAAGAAAATAGGAATAATAGTACAATCTATTTGACCATAAGGAATGAATTACTAGAGCAAGATGCAGACCACACAAATTACTCCTGATGTCTTTTCTCTTTCTTCCTTCTGCTCCGTTTTTCATGGCAATGAGCACGCCTGCAGCCTAACTCCAGCTGTCATGGGACCTTTCGCGCTATTTGTGGGAGTAAGTATTGATTTTAGCATCATAGAAGATTGATCACGGCTGAGTCTGTGTGGGGGGCTTAGGCACCAAAATCCAATTTAAGGAGGTTTCAGGCAACCTGTGAAGTGGTCCTTTAGTTATTAGTGGAAAGCAATATTTTGCTTCTATTTTTTCAGGTAATCACTTGTATCTATCACAAAGTTTGGTTTTGCTCATCCTGTTCCCAGGAGCCAGTTGTGTTTAGTCTTTTGTGCTCGCTGATATACACATATATGTACACACGTATGTTAAGTATATGTATGTATGTATACGTACATTAAGTATATGTATATGTACGTTAAGTATATGTATATCTATGTATATGTATGTTTTTTATATATATACATACACATATGTTGCTCTTTTCCCAATAACTCAGAGCAATTAAAAAATGTACTTTGTAGTTGGAACATGAGATTCAAGAAATAGCTAGAACAGTTTTCCTCTAAAATTTCATTTTTTTACAAAAATCGTTTTTATTCTTTTGCCAACATACATTTCAATGACATTTTAAAAGTAAAAATTTTCCATTTCAGATTTTGTTAATGGCAAAATGTTCATTTTTGACCTTGTTCTTGATTTAGATAAGTTATATTCAAATACCAATTTTAAAATACTGTTTTCCACGCTGTCTGTAACATTTTAATGCAAGCTTAATACTTACAGAATAATCCACATGATCAAAAATAAGGAAGCAATCACTAATTGAAATGAAGCTTTTCCTTGGTGCCAAACTGAAATGTTTGGAAAAATGTCAAGGAATCTCTGACAAGCATCAGTGAGGACCAGTGGTGGGAAAGGAGCTGCAGAGCTGGCGGCTGCAGTGGGTGCCGAAGCCTCTTGGGAACCCAGCTTCAGGCGGGAAGCCTGGAGCCAGGCTTCCCATCTCCCGGTCAGCCAGGCTGCTTGTGCTTCTTGAGGGCACGAGACCTTCCTGAGAGACCTTTCCCGAGTCTGGATAATGACCTGTGAGCAGAGCTAAACTAGCAGACGTGGGGAGAAGCTTGCATCCAGCCAGCCCTGCTTGATCCAGGAGGAGAGCTGGGAGCAAAACTGTTCTGTGCATCCTAAGGGACTGTGGTCTTTCCAACAGGTACTTGCACAGGACTCCCAGCCTGATCCCTTTTTGTGGTTCCCCTTCTTCCTGCAGTAAAACACTGCTGGCACAAAGCCTTTTGCATAAACCCCTTCCTGTCATGTGGGGAAGTGTGACTGCTCCTTTTGGAGCACCTTGACAAAATCCTGCAGGCATCGTTTTTAATTGTCATTTATGAGTGACTGGCAGATGCCAGGGTAAAGGTCTAGAAAATGATATTGTGACATGGCCCCAGGAGTAGAAGGTCTCAAGTGCAAGGCTACAGGGCACAAATCATCAGCCAGCACTGACCATTCCTGTATCTTCCAGCGCTTGGGGTCAGAGGCTCATAGGAAAATTCAGGCTGGAAGGCACCTCAGCAGGTCCAACCTTCTGCTCCAAGCAGGGCAAGCTGTGAGGTCAGACCAGGTTACACAGGGCTCGTATTCAGTCTTGTCATACTTGTACTTTCCTTCAGATATTGCTTGTTTCCAAGCTTCTTTATTTCACCCAGTTTTACAGATCTGCTGCGTTTATTGTTGCCAAGGCTGCCCATTCTTCTGGACTACCTCAGTGCTCATGTTGCCAACACCTTTTGTTGTTTTTTATGAAGTGCCAGAACTGCAAACTGCTAGATTCTGGCCTCTGCTCTCAGAATCCCTCGTCCACCTGCCATGTCAATTGGATTACTGAAATTCATTATCTGGACAACTTTTCTGTGCTCCCCTGATGATGTTGGCTCAAAGAAAAAGGTGGCAGAAGAAGTCATTTTTAGGGAGCAGGTGTTCAATGGCAGCTCGTGTAACCTTTTAATCTTGGGGCACAGGTTCATATGTGACTGTCAGTAGAAAATATAAGTTTTTTGTGGTAGCTCAGGTGATGAGCCAGCCCACTTTCTTACTTTCCATTAGCCCTTCTTGGTATGCCTTCTGTGCTTCTGCGCACTTCTGCACCATGTGCCATGCACTGGGCCCCCTGATAGCCCACGCTCTGCTCCACCGCAGCCAGATTTGGGCTGTGTCCCTTCCTGCTCCCTGTGCATGCACATCTGCGAAGGGAGAGACAGAAATAAAAACATGCAATGAAGTAATTTTCTTAATAGCATGCATTGTACATTTATCAATATTTTTGTTCTACTAAGCTGAAACTAGGTTTCCTTTTTTTTCCCAACTTTTGAGGGATTATGCATGACGCTTTGAACATTAGATGCAGTCAATATAGTCACAAAAATAGGTACCGAAGTTGTAGTACAAAATACTCCCACAAGCTTGTTTAAATGCAAAGAAAGCCTTACTCTTGAATGTGAAATCTGCTTTTCATAGCAACGAAACAAAGGGAGTTCACAAGTCTCAGGTAAAATGTAACCTTTAAGAAAGTATAAAAAGAAGTGGAAGACTGTCAGTAAGTGTCCTCAAAATATCTGTTTGCAGATTAGATGTGTTCAGAGGACCTATGCATGGAAATCAGTGATTTGTAGGCTTCTCTCCAGTACAATCTACTCTCCTATTGCCATTACAATAAGCACATCCACTTGAAAAGTTCTGATGGAAAAATATGCATCAGAAAAATACGCATCAGATAAATGTAGTTTAGATACAATGAAAGCATTTCTGCTGAAGCAACTTAATGTAAAAAAAGGAAAAAAGTTGAAACACAATATTTTGACTGCCCCACTTTGCTTCAAAATACAATAACAATTTTTGTGCCATTACTGTTAGTTTATCTGTATATATGATGTAATATCTTTATATATATAAAGTAAATTCTGATGAATATTATACAAGTGTAAGATGATACTTTTTTGATCCAACTTTCTGAAAGTGTAAGGTTTCAGTGTTGTAAAAGCAAATGCTAAGTCCAAATGAAAATATATTTTAATTTTGTTTCTACGGAAACATAGAATTTTCAGCTTGGCATCCAGATGTGGAAGAAAACCTGCTAAAAACAACCAAGAAGAAAACTGGAATTTCATGTGCAAGTGGATACCTGATTTCTGATTAGTTCTAGCAAGCTTCTGCAAGATGTTGGAATCTGAAAAAGTCTGCATTTCTCAGCTGTGCCAGCAGCAGCAGGGCTGCACAGATTGTCCTAGCAGCACTAATTGCCCTGATCTTTCCATTTTGGCTGCCACTTGCTGTCACCCTTTGAGGAGCCTCTTCTATCTTTGCTCTTGGCAACAGTAGTTTCCTATAATATAAACTCAACATAGATGAACATTGTATAAAGCATAGCTGATGAGCAAGTAGAAGTATTTGTTCCATTTTAAAGAAGGAATGGATTTTTTGTTTCCAATTAACTTTACTCCATTATTTATCACAAAGCCTGTGCCTGAAATTTTTGCATCAGAAATTTAGGCAATTCAGCCAGTGGATTAGACCTCAAATTCATTTATGCACAAAGCCTTTAGGACCAGAATATTGAAATGATCTCTTGAAGATAAAAGCTCAAGACACAATGAGCATGTCCTGCTGCCTAACTACACGCATTTCCAAAGAGAAGAAAATTTCATGAGCAGCTCATGAAACTACTTCTACAAAGACACTTTTCTTAGAGGATCATGGGTAGAATTTGACAAAAAGATAGCTACCTTTTCT